GGCTGTATAGTGCGAGCATAAATAACAGCGACGAATGCCCACTCTGATGCGTCTGCAAATAGATGCAACTGCGTGGACGCACCCTTCGCACAAATACCTGTCTACCTTTTAAGCTTTTAGTCTGAAAACAACTTTAACCGTTCTCGATAATGACACCATTCACCCGCTATAGGCATCGGAACTGGATCATCCCAATCGACGTTAGAACGCCAAAAATCCTGAAACCAAATTTTTTACATTATTGTGCAAGGAGATAGAAGTCCTAGCGGATCGAATAGAACACTTGAATCGGATAAGTATGCTCTTTTGGAAAGATACGGTGCTGGCTTGTTTAGATTTACTGCAAACATTAAATAGTCTCTTTCTGTGTGCCAAATTAGACTCAGGGCAGGCACTTCCTTGTCTTCGGCGATATAGTGAGACATTTCCTTTGACGCGTTAGATATGGACGCTGTTAGTTCTGGAAGCCCACTGCCTTAACTCAATACGTCGCGTTGAAGTTCTTCTATGTTAGATGAGCCTGTGAGCAAATCATCCATATAAAAATCTCAAAGGATAACAGATGCAGCCATGTCATAACGTCCTACAGCTTCCTAAGCGGTCTGTTGAAGGGGCTTTGCAGCTAGATGTGATGCTGTAGATACACCGTACGTTACCCGCAATATGCGATAATATTTAATAGGAAGTTGTGGGTCTGAGCGCCACACATGACATTGGAGATCAGTGCGCGCCTTTAAAACGTATACTTGTCTATACATTTTCGCCACATCTGCATTAACGGCCAGTAGAATATTCATTTAAGTTTTTTTTATGGATTCAACTATAACTTCTATATATTTGTAAATTAATTTTAGTTAGTTGTTTTTGACTTTTTTAGTAAAATTAAACTAAAAAAATTTAAATTAATTAATAAAAAATGTCAAATAAAATAAAAAACATTTAAATATATAAACCAAACAAAATTTAGTAAAAAAAAAGAAATAATAAAAACAAATTTTTTTGGCAATCGCTCCAACCGAGGATCGAACCTGGGACCTACAGGCTTGTAGTATGCAGCTCTCACCACTCGGCTACCGCGGATGGAGGAATCGGTTGCTTTATCTGCTCAGTTAGCGTAGAACACAAAGAAACTGCTTAACTAGCATAGACATCCCCCCTATCGTCGGTAATGCAGTCACAGAAATAAGTTCTTATTCATTTTAATTTGGATTCCTATTTGAATTAGTATTAGTGACTGCATTACCGATGAAAAGGTATATGTCCATGCTAATTTTGCATCTTCCCTGTATTCTACGCTCTCTGAGTTTTGGTCAGTGTTGTCATCGAAAATTCCCTTGATCCGAGTTAAGTTTGGGAATTAACTCTAGCACTTAATTCTGACCAACTGCACTTAAGTTAAGTTGATCCGGATCAACGCTTCCGTCTGTTTATGCCGAAACAGCCCAGACTTTTTCTCCGGGTAAAAATGGATAAAGTATCAAAGTGCATATCAGCTGTTTTGTGTTTACACGTCGCGTGCATTTACTTGGTGCTGTTGATGTATTTCCAATCCTTATAACTTAAAATCAAATTTGTGAAACCAAAATTCAATTTCCAAGTATCTGCACCTAAGTGACAAAATCATAAACAACATGAGTCAGCTGTCTCTCAAATTCTGGGCACGAAATGTGGTTTTTTGCGTTCCCCTACTTCTCTAATTACCGGATCCGGCCCGGATTGTTAGGGAAAGAACCTATTAGGTTTGTTCCACACCAGCCCGAGGGATCCCGCGGGTGCCCAAAACAGCCCAGAAAGCGTTCCTCACGTTGGAAAATGGGTAATATAAAGCGAGTACCTTCCACTTTTGGATCGAAAATGTCTTCTTCTTCGTGCCTCAAACAGCCCGGATTTTTTTTCCGGGCAGAAATCAGCAAGAAGTCAATTTGAAATAACAGATGCTGTGTGTTCACATCCGAAAGCAAATTTTGTAAAAGCTTAAACAGACGGCAATGTTGATCCGGATTAACTCGGGCTTAATCGGAACCAACTGCAGTTAATTCCCGAGTTGATCCGGAGCAACGCTGTCGTCGGTTTAAGCTCTAAAATACAATAATGGAAAATAGCACTAAAGTTTCAGAAATGTAGGTATTTGCTAATGTTTTTAGCCATATAAGATAAATACACATAAAATCATTGTTTAAAGCTGATTTATTGATTCTGGGCAGGAAATGTGGTTTTTTGCGTTCCTCACGCTCTGGGCACTTTTGGTACATGTTGACACATTTTTGACACTCGTGAGAGAGTAACTTATTCAGCAACTTCTCCAGTAAAAAATTCCAGCGAGTACGGAAAAGAAAAATAGAGCGTGAAATTGCGAAGAGAAAACTAGCAGAAAAAGTTATTGAACACAAAGCTATCAAAAACTTGCAAGGGAACAGTTGTTGTACTGTTTTGACATTCTGCTGTAAACATTTTACGATTTATAAATCAGTTTTAAACTCTTTGCTTTACACGCAAGCACTTACACAGTCCAGACATCATTAATATTTTTATTTCAACTCATTTTACTTTTGTTTACGCTTAACCAATTCAACAAATGGCAGCTCCTGATATTCATTCTTCTTCTTCTTCTGATAGCTAATTTCTGCCAGTAAAAATTTCACCAGCAAGAATTTGCAGCTCTCCCGTGTTATTTCGCTCTCGATTCAATGCCCTCTTGCAAATTTTTTGGGTTATTATACACTTTTCCAGTAAAAATTCACAGGTTCCAGCACAACTTAGGGCCGGTTGTTCAATGTCTGGTTATCACTACTTGCAGGTTAAACATCATTATCGACGTTTTCGTCATCATGCATATAACATGTGATTGATAAAGCAGTCGTTGTATTTAACCGGAGCTTCTACCTCTGATTAGTGCTAATCAGACATTGAACAATCGGCTTTTAGTATTGACTATTTGTTATTATACAAGTTAACATGTGCAGCCCAAGGGCAGTCGTAACAGTTGCAGTAAGCAAATTTATTTCTGCAGCTGGCAATCAATTTCAATAGCGGCCAGCCAACAGTAGCTAATTACGACGAATCTGTAATGCAACACCAACATGCAGCTGCACGGTGGTTTCATATTATTCCTATTGATATTGAACATCTGCAAATTCCACAACATCATCACAAGCCAGTCACAGCGAGGCGTTCCTGGAACTCTTCACAGCAGCGATACCAGCAGCGACTGCGACGGTGGCGGCTGTAGGTTAGATTTTAAGAACAAGTAGTTTGTAAGTTTTAGTTTAGTGATTGAACTCACCGGCAAAGCCAGTGCTTACGATTAATAATGAAGTAATAAAGTTAAATTTTAAAACTCGAATAAACTAACTTACACATCTGATGTACGCGAATAGTTTAAAGCAAAGAGAGCAATGAAGCCAACATTCCGCCAGCCTTGAACGACTTAAATAAGTTCAACTTACACATTTTACTTTTAAATATCCAACAATCTTACAACTAAATTACCATGCTTATATTATTCATTATGTAAAATATGCAATAATACAAAATTTAAGTTTAGTTGAAAAGCCGGTTATTGTACTTCGTCCAAGAACAGGTGCCCTTTATTTAGAAACAAACAAGTTTGACCACCGGCCGTACGAGTTCACCTTCAGCCGTCCTAAGAGTGACTACACATACCTGACCATCAGCTCCGGGATGACACTTCAAGACCCGAGCGGGCTTCCACTTCGTTGGCGGTGTGGATTCGATATCATTTTGCAATAAATTAGGCGATGTCCGGAACCATTTCGTTCGACGTTGTAAATGCACGAGATATTCGTCACGCCAGCATTTCCAAAAGTGTTGTCGCTTTGAAGAAATACCGTGCCAGCGTTGATGCAAGTTTCCTTTAAATTCCGGCATATCAGGTTCTGGGAGTGGGGTCAGGGGTCAGGGTTTCTAAGTCACTAGGACTTGCAGCATGGGTGCACAACGGTCGTGAGTTTACACAGGCTTCAACTTCAGTTAGCAACGTACTAAATTCTTCGTACGGTAGCAAATGATCACTAAAAACTCTTTTTAGATGGTATTTTATACGCTTTATGCCGATTTCCCAATAACCTCCCATGTGCGGAGTGCTTGGAGGATTGAATTTCCACGAGGTGCTGGAGTCGGCAAAAAATGCCCTGATCTTTTCATCCGCGATGCAACGTTCAAACATGTTTCTTAACTCTTTCTCCGCTCCAATAAAATTCGTGCCGTTATCGTAATACACGACTTTGCAAAACCCATGGCGATTGATAAACCTTATGAAGGCGTTGAGGAATGAAGCCGAAGATAAATCACCAACGAACAAATATAACCTTTAACAGATTAGTCTCCTCTTCCATTTGAAAATTTGTAAAGATAGGGACCTGCGAAGTCGACAGCGCTCCGCAAGAAGCAACGAGAAAAATTTACACGACTTGGTAGCAAGTCTTCCATAACCTGGGCACCGACTTTGCGATTTATCTCTGCAATGGGAAATTTCATTAGAAAAATAGTAATTTTGCGTATACCTTATCAGAGCGTCTTCAGCGTTAGTAATCTCATTCCACAAAAGGGGCCTGGTTGCCTTTACATAACTATGTATTATAGCAGCTCTGAAGTTGCTGATAAGCCGTAGGACATAAGCGATAATTCGTTTCAGCCTTTATTATGATGAGAGGTTGGTGAATACTGACCAGTGTTCTTTCGAGCTCACAACGTGGGCGGATAGTTTACTTGCTTGAAGTTCCAAGTTTTTTGTGTGCGTCGATGGAGACTTAAGCCTCCAAAATTCCTCTGAACTGCTAAGGAATTCCGGACCATTCCACTTTAACCGATGCTCCATCAGTTCAAGCGGAGTTAAACCTCTGGAAGCGCAGTCAGCGGGATTAATTTCGGAACGTATGTGATTCCACGATTCAGCCCTTAAAATTTCTTGAGTGTCTGCGACGCGAACATCGGATAAGTTTGGTTAGGCAAGTTGTCCATAATCGTTTTCGCTAGCTTAGCTGCGAGGTTTGCAGCGCAAAGCATTGAATATGAGGAAGTGTAGTAACTTTCAGCGGTGCTACCTTGGTCTTAGAACTAACCAAAGCGACAATTATTTCTCCATATGGCTGTATAGTGCGAGCATAAATAACAGCGACGAATGCCCACTCTGATGAGTCTGCAAATAGATGCAACTGCGTGCATGCACCCTTCGCACAAATACCTGTCTACCTTTTAAGCTTTTAGTCTGAAAACAACTTTAACCGTTCTCGATAATGACACCATTCACCCGCTATAGGCATCGGAACTGGATCATCCCAATCGACGTTAGAACGCCAAAAATCCTGAAACCAAATTTTTTACTTTATTGTGCAAGGAGATAGAAGTCCTAGCGGATCGAATAGAACACTTGAATCGGATAAGTATGCTCTTTTGGAAAGATATGGTGCTGGCTTGTTTAGATTTACTGCAAACATTAAATAGTCTCTTTCTGTGTGCCAAATTAGACTCAGGGCAGGCACTTCCTTGTCTTCGGCGATATAGTGAGACATTTCCTTTGACGCGTTAGATATGGACGCTGTTAGTTCTGGAAGCCCACTGCCTTAACTCAATACGTCGCGTTGAAGTTCTTCTATGTTAAATGAGCCTGTGAGCAAATCATCCATATAAAAATCTCAAAGGATAACAGATGCAGCCTTGTCATAACGTCCTACAGCTTCCTAAGCGGACTGTTGAAGGGGCTTTGCAGCTAGATGTGATGCTGTAGATACACCGTACGTTACCCGCAATATGCGATAATATTTAATAGGAAGTTGTGGGTCGGAGCGCCACACATGACATTGGAGATCAGTGCGCGCCTTTAAAACGTATACTTGTCTATATATTTTCGCCACATCTGCATTAAGAGCGGTACCGATGCATTCTGAACCTTATTAGGATTGAGAACAGTGTAGGTTGTAACTGAGGCCCAACCATCAGGCGTTGATTAAGGAGTAGCCTGTTGCTGTTTTCGCGGATGCATTTAACACTACCCTTAATTTTGTTGTAACATACGTGATTCACATAACGGTATGTTTGATTTTAGCGGGAGTTTTACAATAAAACTGCCATCTGAGGCACGATGGTGGTTGGAGTCGAAGTGATCTTCGCAATATTTCTCTTCCGTCGTTAGGAACTTTTTCCAGGAGCTTCTTCTAACTCCCACCATTTGCATAGCGTATCCGTTAACTGAATATCGCTGTGGATGGTTAGCGTATTCCGAAGAGCGTGTAGAGATTCATCCACCTGACCGAATAGTGTCCCGCCAAAAACTGTGTTTTGCACTATAGGCAAACCTGGAGGGCCCTTCCGAACTTCCGGTATGATAAATTTGTCCATTTTATCTACACCAATGAGGATATCTATGGAGTGTGATTTCATAAATTGCGAATCAGCCAGCGACAAATCATGTAAGTGTAGCCAATCAACAACAGGAACATTGCTAGTTGGCAGGTCGTTTGAAACTTTACAAAGAATGAAAGCATTTAGTTTAAGAATTTGCGATGACGACTTAGATGCTAAACTATGCGATACTTCACCTTTAGTTCGCCCACCGTTACCAGAACCGATTCCTGTTACGATTACCGACGACGATCCTCTTTTTTTGGGGGTTTTGGGTAGGTTGGCCGGTTTATAGAATACCACCGCCAGGTTATTCCTCTGCTTTCAAAATATATCTCTCCGGGCCGGTAACTCAATGTCTGGTTATCACTACTTGCCGGTTAAACATCATTATCGACGTTTTCGACATCATCTATATAACATGTGATCGATAAAGCAGTCGTTGTATTTAACCGGAGCTTCTACCTCCGATTTGTGCTAATCAGACATCGAACAACCGGGTCTTAGGGCCGGTTACTCAATATCTGGTTAACACTAATCTGCGGTTAAACATCGTTATCGACGTCTTCGACTCCATGCATACAACAGGGAGTCGGTAACGTCGATAACGATGTTTAACCGGAGATTAGTGTTAACCAGACATTGAGTACCCGGCCCTTAGTATGTTATCTTCCAAATGCTGTGTCCAAACATTGCTCCACTGATACACCTATGGTAATACGTGGTACGTCTTAGGGCCGGTTACTCAATATCTGGTTAACACTAATCTGCGGTTAAACATCGTTATCGACGTCTTCGACTCCATGCATACAACAGGGAGTCGGTAACGTCGATAACGATGTTTAACCGGAGATTAGTGTTAACCAGACATTGAGTACCCGGCCCTTAGTATGTTATCTTCCAAATGCTGTGTCCAAACATTGCTCCACTGATACACCTATGGTAATACGTGGTACGTCTTAGGGCCGGTTACTCAATATCTGGTTAACACTAATCTGCGGTTAAACATCGTTATCGACGTCTTCGACTCCATGCATACAACAGGGAGTCGGTAACGTCGATAACGATGCTTAACCGGAGATTAGTGTTAACCAGACATTGAGTACCCGGCCCTTAATGTCAAAATGATGTGTTTGTTGTAAAATGAATTCGCCTTGTTTACAACAAACACATAATTTTGACATTCAGTAGTACCGCGGCGAAAATTTAATTCGCCATCAACACCACCTTGTATAAATTCGCCTTGGTAATACCGCTAAGGGCCAGAACCACGCGCACAAGTTTCTGTTTATATTTGCATCATGCGTCTTATTATTTTTAATTCTTTATTTATCATTAAGGGCCGTTGTCTCAAGTAACCTATAACTTTAAAGCTCACTTCATATTTAAAAGTAGCATTAAAATTTATGATTGTATCTAAAGTAAAGCATTTTATTATCGGTTTTAAATTGGTTTACAACCAAGAAACATATCCCCCTCAAAAAGCCTGACCTATGATTTTCGGTTAAATTAGTGGGAAAACTGACTAAAACTTTTCGTCAGTTTAGAGGTTAGTTTTGTATGGGCTTGGGGAAAAAAGTGACCATTTCTCCGGGAGTGTGATAGTGCATCCCTTTCTTGCATACACATGGGCGCATTTACCTTACAGTATGTTCACTCGCTCACACATGTCATCTAGTTGGTGATGTACAAGTGAGTTTAGCGATGAAACTATTGGGAAAATATCGCGATAATTAGTGACATTTCTGACCACTATTCTAACCTCGGGAAATGCTTTGTTATTGGCCCACCGTTTTTGGGGTGGGGGGCGGAGGGGGAGGAGGCGGGGCCCCCCAAACCCCCCTCATTCGAAAGGGGACAGTCGCCACTTTACGAAAAGCCCCATCCCCCCCTTGGGGACCTCCCACAGACCCCTAGGGAACCGTTTGAAAATGGGGTAAAAACGTAATTTTCCGAGGCAAACTGAGCAGTTTCAAGTGGAATATAACCCAACTAACGAAAAACGTGGGATTTTTAAATAAAAGAAATTATCCCAAGTTGGTTATCAGGCGATTTGAAAAAAAAATGATGGGCAAAAAATTAACTAACAATATTGTGAAATTAAGAAAAAAGCGACAGATAGAAATGTTCGGCCGCACTTAGGGATTATAACCCTCACTACGTAGAATTCTCTTCTGTGTTGCCAAAGAAAGGGGGTTGAACACCTTTTGCAGAGAACACCTTTCTGCGTAGGCGGCCTTCGGCCGCACTTAGGGATTATAACCCTCAGGCAGTAGAATTCTCCTTTCTGTGTTGCCAAAGAAA